CCAAAACCCCAAAACCCCAAAACCCCAAAACCCCAAAACCCCAAAACCCCAACAGTCAATATGAAGTGTAATTTAGTTGAAAAGAACTTAAATAATGCAAACAAAAATCAATCTATTGTAAATTTCATCATCTTCTTGAAGGGGACTTAGGTAGGATTTCATCAATAAACTCAGAATATGAGATTCTACCATCTCTGTTTCTATCATATCTGTCAATAAGGATGGAGACCTCACTATCAGTGGCATAGAAGCCATTATCTCTAAGGATATTCTTGAATTCATCTCTGGTAAGATATCCATTTCTGTCAGTGTCAACAGCAGTAAAGGCATCGTGGGCACTAAAGTATGGTCTTCTTCCAAGTCTCTTTCTAAGAAGTTCAGCACTCTCTTCAACACTGAAGTGAACCTTGAATGTTCTGAGGAAGAGATCTCTAGTATCTCTTGTGAAATATTCATTCTTTGGATAGCTGTGGTGAAGATAATAGGCACCTCTTGAATTCAGGGTAATTGAATGAGCTGAAGATTTTGGTGTGAAGGCATCACAGAAATCGCTGTATAGAACTCTGCCATCTGAATCCTTATCATATCTTCTGGTAAATAAGTAGACATTGTCTCTATTGGCATATGTGCCTAAGTCTTGGAGTACATCTACAATCTCTGAAGCTGTAACCCATCCTTTGACAGTTCTGTCGAGCATTTGGAATGCATCCATTAGATTGAAATCGGGCTGAGAGGCCAATCTTATTTTAGCATCTTCAAGCTCCTTCTCAAGGCTAATTTGCTCTTTGAAGGCTCTAACAAGTTCTTCTTCATCATCTTGCTTGAGAGGTGATTGTCTCTTGGATGCTCCAAGAGTAGATGATCCAAGTCTTGATGGTGATGAGAATTCTTTGTTTTGAGATCTAGAGAGAATATCTCTGGTGACATCACTTCTTCTGCTTGGAGATGCTAGAGAACCTCTAAGTTCAGAAGCTTAGCCATATCTAGATGGTGATACGGATGGTTTGTAGCTTGAAGTACTTAGTTATGAGGCACCAAGGTATGAGCTCTCATGGAGTCTGCTGGCATGACTGTCTCTTAATGGACTTCTCTCCTTTCTTTCCTCTGCAAGAGAAGATGAGCTATCTCCAAGACCAGTAGATTGTGGTCTGACTGCCTCAATAAATTCATCATAAGTAATTCTTTAATCTGCATCTACATCTAATCTTCTGATGATAGCAACTATCTCTTAATCAGTAGCGTAAAATCCATTCAATCTCAAGAATGATTAAATGTTTCTGCTGTTAAGGGAATGGTCTCTAGTAGTGTCCACGGTCTCAAAAGCAGCTCTATTGGTCCAATCGTATCTTAAATGTAACTCTTGCTTTAATCTTTCTACTCTAGTGTGATAGGCTAATTCTCTATATGAACATTAAAATTTGAAAATATAATGATGATTATTTACCTCTCTAGAAGATTGGTTAATTCTCTTTCAACAGTCAATGGTAGTCTATCGTATCTGCCGATTTTATAGTTAGGTCTTTGAGTTGCAGCTGATCTAAGATACATGTCATCGCATGGCAACATAACTTGCATGAATCTATTTATTCACATTAATAAAGGCAGTTAATATTTACTCAGAGTATTTAAGTCCTCTATCGCTATCTAAATCGAAATACTTAACAAGAAGTTCACACTCTTTAAGTGCAACATACTTAACATCATTATCTCTATATGATATTTGTTAACGGATATTCTTAATGTCTAAAGATATTTACCTCAAGAAAGTGTAGACTTCGAGTGGAGTAATAACGTCATCTCCGTTTCTATTGACTCTTTGGAAGGCGGCATATGGCTCAAAATCAACGAGAGTGGCTAAGAGTTGTCTTTGTCTCTCTACTTGCAATTCAGCTTCAGCTACTGTCTGGAAAAATTCCTTTAATTTGTATTGAGTGTCGATACCAAGCATATTAAAATTTTATTTTATTATTCATTTTGACTGTTAGATTAAATTTAGTTTGCAATAGTTCGTAATAAATTAAGCAATAACTATAGGTGATAAATCTAAAAATAAGAATGACAGAGTGCAGCCTATAAATGAATGGAGGATATTCATTTAGCTTTTAAAAGCATGAGTAAACTGAAAGGAAATGTACAAATATTACTGACTAATATAAAAATGGATTAGATTCATAAATTTTTTAACAATCAACAATAAAATATAAGTCACAACTTTGTTCGCAGCAATAGCAGAATTTCAGAACTTAACTCCTCTTTGGCCAGTGAGGTAGGATTCAAGGGGCCCAAGAAGCTTCTTTCTCATGTTATCAATAAGGAAGTGCTTGAATTCATCAAAGTCAATGACTCCTGAGTGGTCTTCGTCAAGATTATCGAAGAATTGATCAACGTCTGCCTTGGTTGGTCTTCTCTTGATGCCTTGCTCCTTGAAGTGATTGGTGAGTAGGTCGACTACTTCTCTTCTGTCGAGTACTCCGTTATGATCCTTGTCGTAACTATCGAAGGCCTTTCTCATAGTGGCAAGCTTACCCTTATCTTGAGCAATGGCCTCATCATTTTCATAGATCTCCTTCATCTTGTAGAATTGCTGAACGAGATACTCGGTGTCGTATTAGTCAAACTTAGAGTTCATTTAATATTTAAAATTAATAAGGATCAACAGCTACTTGCTTAAATTATATCTCAATCCTTTTTCAATAATTTCCGATACACTTTTTCTTATTTCTTCTTCTTGGGGTTTTGGGGTTTTGGGGTTTTGGGG